CCACTCAGATAATCCATATATATAATTTGAATTTCAACTGTTAAGCAGCTGACGAATCTTTAAATCTGATCCAGAAATTTTCAGGCCTATACCCTTGGAAATTTGTCCTCCCACATGAGGAATTCTCTGTACTTTTGTTGTGAAAGATGCCACACAAATAAAGTTGTATTTATTTATTTAGTTATGCATTTATTTGAGGCCTTTAGTTGGATTTTGGGGATGCCCCTAAAACCCCTTTGAGGATTTTAGCATTGTTTATCTTGTCTTTTTGACACCTCTAACATTTGTAACACCGGCACTGTACCTCGTAGAAGCCTCGGACCAGGCTCTCTGTCTGCTGGGCCACGCCTCTCTCGATGCGCCATTTGACCATTCGCTCAATATACTCCTTCTTGTTCTTTTCTGACACAGGGATGCCAGCCCCACCCGGCTTAAGCTCTCGCTCTGTGATCTGCAGAATTACAGAGGAATAACACATAAAATTTGCGGTCTGCTTTTCTTGTTCCAGGGCGCCACCACAGACTGAAGACGCACCTGTCCAAAGACCTCCTCGTTCACAGTGAAGGTGAGGTCCAGCATGTCTTCGATGTCATTGTCCTTCATCCACTGTAGACTCTGATGGAACTCCTCATCCAGGAACTCCAGATCACTCAGGTCACACGGGCTGCATGAATAAGGGTCACAGCGGGGTCAACAGGTGGGGATGACCTGCTCGTTAATCATCGTCAGCTGATTTTAACAAGTGAGGCTGAAGGTTAATTATACAAAGTATGGAGATGAAGCATAGGTATGTGTCAAATCTTTTGCTGATCTTTTGAATGCTTTTGCATAATTTTCATTCCTTGGTCATTCCACGTGTTATTACTGTCAGGAAAATATGCACGTTCACTTGCTTTGTTGATTATACTAAGATCATTCAGCACTATATTGGACTGAACATATGACATTTCATTTGATAAATGCTTATCTCTGCACTAATGGTGATAAAGCTAAGAACAGATCGCTGCTGCCCGAGAGGTTAAGAACACATTTAATACAGCATCTGTCCTCATTGCAGACATTTGGCAGTGTTTCAGGTTGTTTGGACAAAGCTTAATAAGGCTGCTGCTCCTACTGACAGGAGAAGCAGACAGCTGCTGACTGACATTCAAGGTCTTATTTGGTCAGGGAGGAAGTGCTGCTACCCTGAATGCTGACTTGCAATGAATGGAAGCAGGCTGAGGCACTTACATGCGAAGAAGCCCCTTATAGAAAGGACGGGTAAAAAAGGCATCCAGCAGGTACTGATGAACAAGGGCCAGCCCCAGGATGCGCCCGCTGAAACGAAACCTGCATAAAACATGGAAAATATGTGTGAATACAGACAGCAGCAACATCAGGACCGCAGTGATCTCGCTTTCTTTCACACTGTCTAAACAACACAGGAACCAGATTCTACATCTTTTCCTGCAGATGCAAAAACATTGTGCCATAGTCTGCTGCAGCTTCCACACATTATGTTCATGTTATGATATCTAAAACTCTCTTGATTGAGGACCCAACAAATAGAGACAAGAAATAAGAATCTTAAAGATGGTCTGTGAGAACAAGATTGAAGTTGGCAGAACAAATCCCAACCACGAGGGAAGATAACAAACAATTTGGTATCTGCATCATATTTTAAAGATGCTTCTCGATTCTATCTGGTTGAGAAACTTCTATAACATCAGAAAATTGTCTTTGTTCTTTCAAACATAGGTTTAGCTTGATAATTGCCTCTAATCATGTACAATATAACAAACAACTTTCCCCAAAGAACAAAAACTGCAGTTCCTTTAACGGCCACTTGAGCCTGGCTCCAGCAGTGAGTCAGTCCCCATAGACTCCCATGTTAAAATGTCCAACTTTACAGCAAAAATAAACATGTTTACAGCCTGATACAAAAACAGTTTTGTTCTCTATAACCAATCCCCAACTTCATCACAGCTGCATGAGAGTTGATTTTTCCTCCTAACTCACTATCTGGATACTAGTAAAGCTTAAATCTAGGGATGTAACTGCTTTAAATATGGTGTCAATATAGAGCTGGAGTCCCTGAACTGGACATTTTTTGGAGCATTTTTAATGGAAACTGCCTAATAACATGGCAATTCAAGAAGGTTCGGTGAGTGAAATTCTAGTAAAGATCCTTCTTCAAAAAAAGAAAAAAAAACAAGAAACTCAGTGAGTCCATCCTACCTGACCACCAGGTGTACTTAAATAGAATTTCCGTGTATCTGTACTTTACTAGAGTATTTATTTTACTCCCTATATCTTTACATAAATATCTATAGTATCTACTGTCTTAGGTTTAATACATTTGAGGGAAGTATTTATCTCCCAGCCCTGCACGCCTTCAAACATCAAACACATTTGAAGCTAAATGGAGGAAACAATGACACATAAAAGAGAATCCTATCGGTGTATCTGTGCTTATCGGTTACAAAGAGATGAAAGAGCAAAAACCACATAACTTGTCCACCATTCATGGTGCTATACTCTGGGGTTAAAGTGGGCCAGAATGATCTGGATTGGTGGTCACAGCACTACAAATGATCTTAGGGTACCCCCACCTGCCATATCCCACTTCACTGTGCTCATTTTCCTGTTTAGGTATTGAGGCAGAGCCACATTCTACAACGTATGTGACAGCAAATAGATCAAATTCTCTCGCTTTCTCTCTGCTCACGTTCTGCATAGCAGTGTTCAAAATGAGTACATTCACTAGAATCAGATAGATAGATCTGATTCTAGTGAAGGTACTCATTTTGAAATACACAAATATTGTGTATTTAGAAATACACAACATAATATCTCTGACACAGAGGAAGTACCAGCAGCACTGGTAGGTGCAGTTCATATGTGGGAACTTTTATGTAATGGACCAGTGTTTTATTCTTCTGTTTCTTAGCACTAACTACCAAGTATCTGTGTCTGATACACTGAAAAAGATTACAGAGGCAGCTTGCTAAAAAAGCTAGTGAACATTACCTGATACTAAATATGGTCACTTCTGGCTCCAAAAAAAGTAACACGGCAGCAGCCAGCACACTGTTGTTGAAACCGGTGAGCGATATCATGGTGGCTGCATCCAGCTTTCACATAAACAGTATACCTTTATATATATATTTAAGCCACATAAACCCTCCCTACACTCTTATACCTCATGGGGCGATCGTGGCTCAAGAGTTGGCAGTTTGTCTCGTAACCGGAAGGTTGCCGGTTCGAGCCCTGGCTCAAACAGTCTTGGTCGTTGTGTCCTTGGGCAAGACACTTCACCTACTGGTGATAGCCAGAGGGGCCGATGGTGCGATATGGCAGCCTTGCTTCTGTCAGTCTGCCCCAGGGCAGCTGTGGCTACAACTGTAGCCTGCCTCTATCAGTGAGTGAATGTGAGAGTGAATGAATAGTGGAATTGTAAAGTGCTTTGGGGGTCTTGATAAGTGCTATATAAATGCAATCCATTATTATTATAAAACCTATTATAACCACTTAAAATCTAAAATAATAAAAAAAAAAACCTATAAGAAACAGAAACCTGTGATATAATGAAATTCCGGCAATATAAATTTACAGATAAATCTGCAATGTAGCAAGGAATACTATAGTCTATGGTTCATGTTACTAAACCTGTTTTCCATGTTACTCAGACCTCCATCCATCCACAGCCACTGAGCAAAAAAACTGACTTGTGACAGATTGCTGATCCAAATTTCCACACAGCTCTCCACAAATTGCTTCCATTTTGGGATCAGCATTCAGGACAGATAAAATTAACACCTTACATTTAGCACAGGAGCACACACAGCAACAAACAAACAAACAGGCAGGCAGAGATCACAGGCTGACAGAAACCTCACCATTCATGGTGGTTGTCCACGAAGGCAGACATGGGGCTGATCTGGACGGTGTACGTGTCATTAGCTGAATATTCAAACAGCCCATAGTATGGGTTGAACAGCTCTCTAGAGACCAAGAAGAAAAACTCTCTGGAGGGTCCGCTGTAGTCCAGCCTGCAACACACACACACAAAATGAGAGTACACATGCATATGAACCTTGATGACTTTGGCTGATGATTGGATCAGAGGAGGAACGCATTTAGTGTTTATGGGATTTTGCAGCCTCACAATCACGATACTTCTGCACTGGAAACAAGAGACGGGTACAGGCGTATAAAACGATTTGTTGTTAAATTTGGTGACATTTAATTTCCTGCTATTGACCTTTTTTTAAAGGGACACAATGTCTCCTTTGTTTTGTTTTATTTAAACTGACTATAAAAGCTTTATTAAGTTATTCTTCCAGTCCTAGATTCTCTCTCTCATGAACACAGTCAGCGCAGGTGAAACAATAACTGAAACATGAGGTCGATTTTCGGTTTTTGGCTGGTACGATGAAGGGCCTGTTCAGTTCATTTTTGCAATCCTGTATGCTGATGTTATAAACAATCATTCCTGCACTGTGGCGATGTGCGTTAAACATTATGCTTTGAAACTTGAGATGAGAACAGAAAACTCTACCCTGCATGAGGTGAGCAAACATCTCGTGTTATTAAGAACAGTAACGCCAATGAAATGGAGGTAAATGTGTTTCTCTGACCCGTCCTCGCCTACAAAGCTGACGTAAAGCTTGCTCCTCTGCAGGTCTTTACGGGAGTAGCACATGATCTGGTTAAAGGCGTCCTCCAGAAGGTGATCTCTGCGTATGATGAGCCTGGGGGTGCACACACACACACACACACACACACGCACGCACGGTTATAGAAACAGAGCGCCAACTATAAACCACTACCGATGAAAACATAAAATCATCTTTTGATTAAAATAGTCCGCACTGAAATACACTGCTGAAAATAAAATATTAAAGGAACACCTTTTAATCAGAGTATAGCATCAAGTCAGCTAAACTTCTGGGATACTGATATGGTCAGAGGGGGTGTTAATGAAATTAACAACAGGTGAACTAGAGGAGCATCAGTGAGACAACCCCCACAACACAAACGGTTTTACAGGTGGGGGCCACTGACATTTTTTCCTTCCTCATTCTTTTTGATTGTTTTTCCTCTAGTTTTGCATTTGGCTAGGTTCAATGTCACTACGGGTAGTGTGAGGTGATACCTGGACCCTAGTTGCACAGGTAGTCCAGCTCCTCCAGGATGGCACATCAATATTTTAGAGATATTTTATAAATCCAGAGGCGACAGAGACTTCGGAGTTTTGCCTCCTGAAATGTGGAACGAGTCAGGCAGTCTTCATTTGTTGCTGACTTTAAAACTCGTTTAAAAAGAGACATTTTCTCTTTGGCTTTTAATCCAGTGTTGTTATCTGTCTTAAACTCTTACCCTTCGTATGTGCCTGTACTATTTCAAATGTTCCCTAGGTTCTATGAATTAACTTATAGCTGATTAATTGCTTTATTCTTGTTCTCTCATTTCTTGTATAGCACTTCTGTCAGCTGTTATGTTGTTTTTTAAGTGCTTTAGAAATAAAGTGATGATCAATACGTCATTACAGTCTCAAGAGCAGGAGGAGATCTCGGGAGATGGGCAGGTACTCTAGGAGAGCTGGACAGGCCCGTAGGAGGCTCAACACATCAGCAGGACCAGTATTTGCTCCTTTGTGCAGGAAGGAACAGGACGAGCACTGCCAGACACATGCTAGACGCACTGTGTCCTGGGTTCTTCCTGGTGCATGACAAATGCCCTGACTGCAAGAGTATGCAGGCAGTTCCTGCGAGATGAAGGAATTGTTCTTCATCTTGCAGGAACTCCTCTTGAGCATTTTGTGTGAGTCCATCCAATGCCATGAGGCTTTGCCTCAGACTGACCAGGTGCTCAGTGATGTCCAGATCTGTTAGGAGATCCCCCAGGACACCAGTCGTCCTCTCATTAGGATTATGGGGGCATTAGAAACTACGAAGTACTATTTTTAGTTGGTGCAATTCAATTTCATCAGAATGGAATAGTGTCACTTTTTCACTTTGATTTTTGGGGTTTCTTTATATTCAGCCCTCTATAAGTCAATCATTTTAATTTCCATCAAACGATGTGACATTCACGTATTACCCAGTCCATATCATTATTGATATCCAGCATGATTTTTTTCCTATTGAGGTCTGAGGTATGTTCATACTGTTCCTTTAATTTTTTTTTTGAGCAGTGTATATGTAAAGCCTAAATTTAGGGTTATACCTAACGCTAAACCCGTGATGGTGTGCCTCCTGAAATTTAATTCGCCCTCCTACCGGTTTATGATTTTGAACAGAACATGCAGTTTTTATTCATAAATAACATTTTTTATTTTAATTTAGAAATCAGCATTCATTAATTCATCTTTTTGGAGCTTTTAGACCTACTTGACTTTCCCCGGTCCCTGTCCATAACCCTTTGTCTCCAGCTTTCGATAGAAGTTCCTCAGTTTGGCCTCAAAATCTCGTTTATAGGGAGCCGGGGCGCGGGCATTAGCTCTCTGGGTACCTGAGATGTAAATGACAGTAAAAAGCACAATGAATGCAAAGCAAGAGACAGAGCAAGAACAAAAAGAGGAGCACAGACAAGTAAAGACAGATAAATGGATACAGGGAGACAGAAATAAAATTAAATCTGAATGTTCCCGAGCAGAAATTGAGTAAAGCTTGAGTGATTGTGTAGACAATCAGAAATAGCGCATGCAGGTTAATCCTGGATTGTTTTGGGGGGATTTTTTTTGTATCAGACTGTTAAAGCTTTTATTAATTTTAGAGCAAATACACATCTCAGTGATCAGAGCTCAGCTCAGCATAAAGAGGTGAAAAGAAAAACACTAATAACAGCGCTGCAAAGAAAATGTTTGTTTTGAACCAAGTCTGACAAGGACGCATTCCAAAAAGCTTCTTTGAATAAAGTGTGCTGGATTTTTATTGAAACATTTCTCTTAAATAAAGTACATTGTTTCGAGAGGTGGTAAGTGCTTTGCAGCTTTTTGTGTTTTCTATCAGGGTGTGTGGCTCCCTTTATCTGTTCCTGTCTCCTTTCAGTGTCATCCTGCAGAGAATTATGACAAAATGCTGGAGCATAAGTCTGAAACTCTCAGCATCGACAGCATAGGGGGAGGATGTTTTAGCAACACCGGTGGGCTGGCAGGAGAAGAAAAAGAGATGAACAGCCTGGTGGAGCTTTGGGATAAAATATATTCCAAATATGGAAGGTGGGTCAGCGCAGATAAAACCACACATAAAAACTAAAGCCTGAAAGTACCTTGGTGCTTTTATATCCGAACGTGGATCGAAACTGGAAGTCAAGGCCAAGAAAACCAAAACTACAGACACAGTTTCCAGATTGAAACCAGGATGAAGACTCATTCTCATCTTAATATTGAGGTTGGACAGCTGACTTTGTGTGATGGGATTAATCTTAAAGGATGCTACTTTAATCCCAAATCATCAACACGCAGTGTCCAGGCAGGAGAATGAGCTCTGTGTTCAGCATCTGCAGCTCTTAACACAGATTTGTCTTGAAATCATCTCTCGCTTTCTTTCTCTGTCTCTTTTAATTTGAATAAGCAAGAACCTCAGAGGCAAATAAAGCCAATCCAGAAGTCTTAAAAGTGCAGTTCCTCTAGTGGCCACTTGAGGCTGACTCTAAAGGTGAGTCAGTCCACAGACTCCCATTTAAAAAAAGTCAAGTTTAAAGCACAAATAAACATGTTTACAGCCTTCCCAAAAATCCGAGGCATTCTTTACAAATATTATGGGATCACAAGATCATCAGGTTTTCTAGGTAATGGTGAAAGAAGACATGAGACTAAAATCTCCCGGAGTTGTTACACTTTAGCAACGTCACAGTTACATCATTGTTACTGCGCTGTTACAATGTAACAAGACAGAAGTTACAGAACAGTTACACTGCAGATACACCATAGCTGCGGGTAATTACACCATAGATACAACATAACTTTATTGCAATGACTACAACTGCACAGGAGCTACACCATAACATGTCAAAGTTACACTTGTGATGACACAGTAAATACACCATAAATATGCTGTAGTTACTCATCATTACTCATATAATTTAGGTATATTGATTATAAACCGTTAATAAAGTTTATTATGTAAGACAGCATATACACGAACATTTTCATTTTACAGTTTTTATTATATAAAAGTGAGAATTTAATAAATGCTGGGCTGATGCAGACAAGGAGTGAGACAGAGACTCACCGGGGGAGCTCTGTGGAGAGGAGAGGCAGTAACCTGGGTGGAGTAATGGCGGTACATATGACATCACCTCCTCCTCAAATAAGCTGAAGATGAGAGAGAGAGAGAGAGAAAAAGAGACACACACACACACACAGAGAACACTGTCAGACAGCAGAAAGGAAACGATACGCCTTCAGGCAGCGTTAGTCCTCACAAACACACACACACACACACACACACACACACACACACACACACAGGGTAGCAGGAATGCAATATTGCGGGTTGCTTATATATAAAATCAGGCAGGCTGCAAAGCCAGCCGCTTCACATGAGTCAGCAAGTAATTATGACTGTAAATACTACTTGTAGGTCAAATAATCATGTGTGATGTCCACAAATATTTTACTTCAGCGGCAAAAAGGTGACATAAGGTACCAATTTATGACATTTCATAAGTGGTGATCATTTTGACCAGCAGGCTCTGTCCCCACACAGACACACCTGCAGGACTCACCTCAGCAGCATGACGAGGTCAGCATCACTGGAGAGGCGAGCCAAGCCGTTGACTCCCTCGCTGCGAATAAACTGCACTTTCTCCCTGCAAACACACACACACTTTAGGGGGCTAACCAGATGCAGTCCATCAAGATTAAAGGTTAAACGTGTTCAGTTTGACTGATGGCGATAATGGAGGCGCGGGAGGCCAGAATGAGACAGAGATGGAGACTGAGAGAGAGGCATACTTGAGTGAGTGGTTCCTGGCGAGCTCAGGCTGCCTTTCCTGCAGGATTTCAAATATATTGGGTTGCCGTAGAAACGCCACTATCTTGTCATTGTAGGCTGGAAGAAAAAGAGGAGAGAATCAGCATGTGTGATTTCACTTTATTCTTGCATCCACACGTGGAAGTTTAAGTCTGTCCGACTCACCCACAGGCACCACGTCGTGGTACTGACTCCGACTGGAGCCGCTGAAGGTGCTGGAGGGGCGGGGCAGGACGGGCGGGTTGGTTTGGCGAGAGTCATCCACCACCTGTGACAACAGTAAACACTACAGTTCAGGTCGCATCCTAGTTCTGGGACCGACCCACCAGTTGGGAACAACAGCAACTCAGCCACAAAGTGGTAGACCACATAAACCCACACAGCGGTTGCTGAGGGGCATAAAGCACTGAGGTTACCAACTTTCTGCCAAGTCAAACGCTACAGACCTCCAAACTTCATATGGTCTTCAGATTAGCTCGTCTGCCTTGACATGTGCATAGAGGGCTTCATGGAAAAGGTTTTCATGGCTAAGGAGCTGCAGCCAAGCCTTACATTACCAAACACAAGTGTCAGATGCAATGCTGTAAAGCACGGTACCACTAGACTCTAGAGCATTGGAGACATGTTCTCTGTAGTGATGAACGCTTCTCTGTCTGGCAGTCTGATGGATGAGTCTTGGTTTGGTGGTTGCCAGGAGACGGTACTTGTCTGACTGCATTGTGTCAAGTGTAAAGTTTAGTAGAGGGGGGGAATATGGTGTGGGGACTGTGAGCCAGGCCTTCTCATCCAACATCAGTGTCTGACCTCACAAATGTGCCTCTGGGAGAATGTCCAAAAATTCCCATAAGCCTTCCCTGAAGAGTTGAAGCTGTTACAGCCCGGCCGATATCACATTAGATGCACACATTTTCATGTGCATGTGTCAGAAGCAAACAGATGTATGCAAAATAGTCTAGACCTGGTGCAATGATGCTGGAGAGTTTGGAGCGTCTTAATACTGCAGATATGAACTGTGAGTTCACCCCATAAAAGCAGCTAAACGTTATGGCTGCACGTGTCACAGAGCATCATTTTAGATCCTCAGCATCCTTTACATGTTGAATTCCAGATGCTTCCATTTCAGATTTCTCCCCAAAGGTAGCACTAATAGAGCGACACTCTCATTTATCATATCCACTTTTTATTTTAAACAAAGTCTGACCCAGGAAGTCATCTCATTTCTCTTTAATATTTTCTTCAGTTCAATTAGTCTACTGTCATTACAAGGAAAATCACGAGCAGGCTCTCCTTTGTTTAACTACCTTACCTTGATATATTACTGTCACACGGTCCTGGCTCATGCCCTCGTCACCTCTCGTTTGAATTATTGTAATTATTGTAATTTTCTTTGGACCACCAAAACAGAAAACCCTGCAATTGTCTCCAAATGGGACAGAACTGCAGCAAGAGTCATCGCCTGCACCCAGTTTGCTGACCACATTACAGCTACTCTCATCAGCTTCACTGGATCCCGAATCCTCAACACCTCCTATACAGTAGGATTTGAAATGTGTTTTAATATTGGTCTTCTTTTTAATTTTGTGTTGCACAGAGCCCTTGAGTACTTTAAAAGGCACCAAAAATAAAAAGTATTATTATTATTATTACTCCAAGCAACAGGTAACATCTTTGCCACTAAGACAGCTCTCAAACTGACCTCTGGCTCTCTATACCGTTCTTGCTGGTTCAGAATAAAAAACAAAAGTCCAAAAATTGAACCATCTTTCTTCTTTTGCACTATTTACACCTTAGAAACCATCAGATGGGTCCGATTTGAGACCTCGGAGCCTTATGTTTGACACCGCAGCTGCAGAATCTCACACAGCTGGACACATCTGAGATTCTCCCTCTAATAGTGAGCATTACTACCTTGATAATACCTTGACATGACTCTTGTTACGAGATGCTGTTATATAAACTAGAAGTGAGCTTCTGTGGCACTTTTTACTCTATATTAAAGCTGCTGTGACGCATCCTTGATGGCACCAACACAGGTGACGCCAACATTCAGAGTTCAAACTGGCCTCTCTAAATATGCAAACCCTAAGCGTGCTCCAGGCAATGAGTGCTCTGCAGCAATGACGAGTCTCTCACCTCCCCGGCACTGTGGCTGCGCTGGCGGCTCAGATGCTGGCGGTGGGCCAGCAGCCCGGTGGAGCGAGAACTCTGGAGGGGCAGCCGCGGGTCGATGAAGGTCGTGGAGCGACAGTTATGATCCACGAAGAAAGGCTGAGGGTTGAGGCGCACATAAACTAATCAGAAAATGTCACACGCAGCGCAGTGAAGGTGAAAACGGGCGTCATTGCGTGGCATACCTTCCCAGTGTGGTCGTGCTTCATCTCCCAGCCCCGGGGAAGCTCCAGCTGCTTATTGGAGAACATGTTGAGGAAGGTGACGAGGTCGCGGTTGTGCTGGTAGCGCTCGAAGAAGTGAGTGTCTCGACGCACCTTGCTGATCATGTGCTTCAGGCAGGTGTTGCTCGTAAACATGCGATAGGCACTCTGAGGGGAGGTCATCAGGAAGCGACAGGGGAACCAATGAGAGAAACAACAGTGGGGTTATTTCAGTGGTATGATGCTATTTTCCTTTTTTATCTGAGACATACTGTTATTCAGGGTTTTTCCTACATGATTAGTGCAGTATCAGTACATCAGGTTTGAAAATAACAGTGTACATGGAGTTGAATGTGGAGTTTTCTAACAGCTCAAGCAGTTAAAAAGCAGAAGTTATAAAGATCTTTATGTTGTATAAGAGGAAGAAGAAACAGATTAAACTAACGTCAACACATCACATGGAGCTAAAGGGGGCAGACTATAAGAGTCTCAATATCCCTAATATTAGTGACTACCCTGACGGAGGTCCCTTATGACCCCAGCCAAATATGTCAATGTGCTGATGTGATATTTGGAGTTCTTTATAGATCCTGGCCCATTTCTTAAAATACTACACTTATATTTTCTTCTTTCTAATCACTTTATTGTGATGTTGTGCAGGGAAGTATGACTAACTGAATGAGAACAGAGTGTGCGTAATTCCCAACATCTCCACTCCAGATGTTTGCTCAGATTTAGTTTCAAGCATGGAAGAAAGAAAAGATGAAAAACAGCCTGACTCTGATGACCTCATTGTAACGTGTTGTTGATCACTTGTCACTGATGCTGGCATACATATACAGAAGAAAAGAAAACGATCTGTAACAAGTAACAGGTGACGATGTAATCTGTCAACTACTAGTTTCTGAAACTAGGATAGCTAAGCAGAAACATGAGCCTAAATGGTTTTTGGTGACCTTGCGTATGTTAGATCTGCTCTACAGGTGTGTTGGACTGACAGGGTTTGAATGCAGCACGGTGAAGAAGTCGGGGCTGCACAGGAACTTGGCGCTGGGCGACTGGAGCAGCAGGGAGAGACGCGAGCGGCCGCTGGAGTGTGCGACGCCGCTTTCTCGTCTGTATTCTGAAACAGAAACGACATCCAGTCAAAGCCTGAGACACCAACCAAACCGACCACAGCAGCTTATGTCAGGAAAACACGCTCTAACAGCACGTGCTGAGTTTAAAGACAGTTAGTAATCACACGTCTACAACTCTGCATGAGTGATATGACAAAGAAAGCTGCTCTTCTCACATCTCTTCATAACAAATAACAGTATCATGGCTACCAGTAGCAGTTCTGAGGATGAATCATCTTCCAGAGGTGACTCATTGAATTGCACAAATGTCTCCTCGTAAAATCTCTCGTCAATGAAACCTTTAATTACTGCATTTGTCTGTGAGATGAACTAACCAGAAATGGAGTGTGGCATCAGTTCGCTTTCAGGTTCAGGAACCAGGTCGACGGAGCTTTCCTCTGACCGATCGCTGTTGGTGATGGTCCTCCTGATGCTCTGATATCTGTCATCAAACAGTGACTTTAGCTTTTCAGTTGCTCCCCAAAGGAAGCAAAGACAATGAAGCATGCATAAGCTTTCTTCTTCTGAAAGTGTGAGAACTTCTGTTTATTCACAGGTACATTAGCTTAAAAACAGGCAGATTATAAAAAACAAAAACAAAGAGATATCTGCAGGTCTCACCAACATACACAGATCGGTCTCACTGTTTTATTTAGAACCCACTTTCTATTTAATGATAGGAACCCTTGGCTTAATCAAGGATTTGCACCACTTCACACCACTGGACATTTCCAGATGCTTCAGGTTACCTGTTATCTGTTACCTCAAAGCTAAAAAGACCAAAACAGTGGACCGTCTGGAAAATATTTCTTCCATTAGGAAAATATGTTTCTGAAAACATCTGCATCTCTTTTACTTTAGATCAACAACAAGTGATTAAAAACGTCTGTGGGAGTTTCTAGAGACAGAAATCTGAAGCTTGGTCACCCATTAAACATCTACAAAGGTGTTCAAGGAGCTTTCAGGCCTCGGTTCAGTAGTTAACAGTGTCACATGTCAATCAGTGGCATCCTGTACTCTTACTGATAATTACTTCTATCACTCACCGCAATTTAAGAAGAGGTTAACTCGGGACCCGCCCACTTTTGCATCTGTATGCCATTGACTTTTTGTGTTATCTGCATTAGACGTTAATTTCTTGAGTTAAACTACAGTTACTTGGGGGGTAAACTGATTTCTTTAACGTTATCTAGATCCCGGTCCTCCTTAAGCTCCCAGTCCTCGGAGAAAGTTCATGATTTCTCCCCTCAAAGCCCACCTGCGGTTCAGCTGCTCCATCTGCTGAATGGAGTTGGAGCGGGTCAGGCCCTGTGGGGCAGGAGGTCCGGTGGGCCGCTGCCATGTGGTGGTCCTGTTGACGTGGTCCACAAAGAAAATCCTCCCATGGCTGTCGATCCGGGCCTCCCAGTCTGAGAGGCAGTTAAAAATGGAGATAAAGCAGGTGTTTAATGGCTTGAACTGAATGTAACTGTTGAAAGTAACACACTTCAGGAATTTAATTTTTAATCTGAAATGAGGAAAATGGATAAATGTGTGTTTACGTCGGGAATCACTGCATCCATGATGTCATTCTGTGGCTGATTTGGGGTTTCAGTTTGTCAGGCTGACTCAGTGCGACGCATGTGAACAACAGATGTGGACGCGGGACGGTGGCGTGAATAGAAACACACACTGCCGCACACTGAACAGTACAGGGCATGCAGACACACACACACTCACTGGGAGGCAGAGGCTCGTCCACACGTTGGTATCGGTGGATGTCGTGACGCACAGAAGGAAGTGAACGCACAGGATGTCCATTAACGTGAGCACCTGAGCACAGGAAACACACAGCACACAGAGGGAACTTTGTTTTAACTTGGGATGAAAATGTCATGGGTTGTAATGTCCAACAAAAACTGTGGTGACCGACTTTTGGAGATTTGTGTAAACGGTACTACCTTCCTCTCCTTCTGTTTCTGTGGTAACTTGTTCTGAATCTGCAGACCCCGCCTCCTCAGATGGCTTTGCCTCGCCTTCCTGTTGTTCAGCCACGCCCCCTGCAGCCTGCAGACTCAGCCTCCTCACGCTGATCTCCTCCACCTCCTGTTGCTCGCTAGTTGGTGGCAGTGCTTCAGCTTCAGCAGCGGCACCTTGCCCTTCACCATCTACAGCCTGATTGGTCGGCGGTGCGGCAGAGTCTATGTCTCCCCCTGGATCTATGGCGGTCTCTGCTCCCTCCTCTGCTTCCTAGAAAATATAAGCGTTTAAAGAGATGGCAAAATAATCACAAAATCATTCAGTCACATATATACAGATATGAAAGGAGTCCATATCTCACGGCATGAGGCAGAGCTGGCTCCGTAACCAGGGCAACAAAAGTTTGACTCCATGCAAATATGTGTCAGTGCGTAGGCGTCGCATCTCAAAAAGAAACAATCATGGAAGATTTGTGATAAAAATTCAGTGGAAAATGGAAACAGATCACTGGTTCCCACTCACAGTCTGTTCCCAGAACATCTCTATAGGGACAATACAAGACAGACAAAAGACCTCCATGAGCCTGTGTACAGCATTAGCCCACCACACGACAGTGAAAGCAGGGTGGCAGTGGTGCATTAGATCTCTGTGTCCTTTAATAAAAGAGCACTGCGGGAAAACTAACGGCACTTGGGCTGCACATTAAAAATGAAACAAATGGAGAAACTCTTCTTCAGAGGACATATATGTTCATATTCTGATGTGCTTTGGCTAAGCCTCAATGATCGAGGTGTGGCTCTGACGAGAAGCCAAGAACACTGCACGTCAGAGATGGGGCCAGCACATGCTGCTTGTCTTCGTTTTTTAATTCTAAATGAGACTGAATTTACAAAATAACTGGGACCGTGAACTCTTTAAGAAAGTGTTTGCTGTGGTTATAGTGCAAGCCAGCCAAAGGATCATCTTCCCATACGCTTCTTTTTAAAAGAAGAGGTGTCGCCCCCTGCTGGGGGACAAAGGCACTTCCTTGCTTAATTTTTCAGACACTCGGTGAACTTTACTTAGTAATTAATTAAATGTACAGCAGACTTTCCACACTTACCAGCTGTCCACTCTAAAAGTGTGGGAGTGTTAAAAACTGCAGTTCCTTGAATGGCCACTGGAGGCTGGCTCCAAATGTGACTCAGTCCTTATAGACTGCTGTGTTAAAATGTCAGATTTTACAGCAGAAATAAACACATTTAACTAGAATCTAAATTTAGAGTTTAATTACAAGAGGACTGTGCTTTTAGTTTTCTTAGATGCACTAGCAGATATGTCCATCAGTGTGCCATATCCATCCAGTATTTGGACGCAGGACGCAAACCAAGCTTACTGGGGTTTCATCTGGATATGGACACTCCTGGCTGCTAAAAACTTGGCAATGACCACAAATTATAACAGGACGTGGCAAAAAAGTCTACACTTCCAATTGCAATTGAGATCATAAAGTCATCAGCAGTGTGAAAAGCTGAGTAAGTTTCTCATATACTTTTAGCTAGCAAGTTAACTTCTTTTGCTCCCTGATGGCAGATTTAGGCAGTGACACTGTGTTTGTGTGTGAAGTGCATCTAAATTCAACAAATACTTCTGGTGTTTGGAATGAATAACTTTTTGTGTTTTAATGTTTTTGCAGGAATGGTTCAAACAAAGCAGTAAATTTTGCTCCCATGAACGCACCACAGCGGTGGTCAGTGTGACTGGACAGCTGTCTGAAGATGAGAAGACCGTCTGGGGGGCTGTTGCCATTGAGCAGCTATCGATCTCTGATAAGGGCTCCTCGCCAGCCATCCTTCCTTGCTCAGGAGCGTCTCCACCTTCTGGCAAAGCATCATGGGACGCAGCCTCTGTGAATGGAACCTCTTCCACTTCAAGAAAAACATCCTGCTCCAAAACATCCTCTAAGTCCGTGCCAGCAACGGCCTCTGCGGCAGCCTGGGCCTCGGGGGCCGTGTCTTCTGCCTTAGCACCTCCACCCACTGGCCCCGCCTCCAACACAGACCCCACCGGTCGCTCAGGCTCCTGCTGCCCCTCAGTGTCGTCTTCATCAGTACCACGGGCATCAGGAGGCTCTCCGTTCATTAGCAGCGGCGACAGGGGTACCGGAGTGATGTCATTGGCTCCAGATCTTTCTTCATCCTCGTCTGAATCGATATGCAGCATGGCGCTCAGCCTTGTGTGTGTCGGGAAACTAGAGCGCAGTTTAGGTGAGGCGGCACCCAGAGGTCGTTCACCAGGTCCTTTAGGGGCCTCAATAGCATCCAGACTCTCACTGAATGACCCTTGGAGCATTTCATGACCTGCAATGCTTTCAGTATCCCCAAATCTGCCCTCTGCTCCGATGAAAGGAAGCTCCTTTTCCAAACAGGCTGCGGTAGCGCCTTCCCCCATGCCCTGGGAGCCCTGGGAGCCCGTAGGAGAGGGGCCTGCTGAGACCAAGCCTGGAAGGTGATGAGGCAGGTCTTCATCATCAGAAGGAGTCCCTGGAGCTCCATTCAAGGATGAAACACCGATGATGGAGTCAGGAGAGGCACCTACAGCCGGGAGAACATGTTAGTGAAAACAAATTCCAAGAAAATGTGAAGTCATGAATATTTAACCACAGCTGAGAGGCAAACTTACCATCCGGTCCTGTCGAGGTGAGCTCAACTTTGAACTGCAGCTGTCCACTAACGTGCTCAGTGGGCAAGCGTCGACACAGAGAGAAACTGACCGGCTGGACTCTGCACAGTTAAAGAAGCAAAAAAAGAGAGACCTGTGTGTCTTTTACACTGCACACACAGATAAAGTACATATGAAGGTCTGTTTATGTGTGCGTGACTCTATGAGTGAGCTCCTACTCGCCTGTGTCTGCACATTTTCCACCTACCCGGGTATTTTTTCAATGAGCCGCTGCACAGGGATCGTAAGCTGGCCAAGGAAGCGCTTGATGATCGGCCGGCTCTTGGCAAACTTGTCCTTCACTTCAATGTAGAGGATGTCCGTCATCAGGGCCACGAATGTGTATTTCTGCAGAGAGGCAAAAGCATCGATGTGCAAAAAAAGAAAGAGGGAAACACATCATGAGTTTGATGCTAGAAGTATTTCAAAAAGACAGTCTTACTGGAGATTATGGGGTGCAAGCAGAAAACTCAAGGCACTTTATCTTTAGGTTAGCTAAAAGCCAAAAACAGACCAATATCAGTCTGTATTAAATACCAATCCTGGATGCCAGTCTATCAAAACCTGTGGCATGATATAGTCCCCTGTTTTAATATAAATGCATTTAATTAACAGTAGTGCAAAGTAGCATTCAAAAAGAGCTTGAAAAAGTTTAAACGACGTCACCTCTCCATGCCAGACGGGGTTGGTGGTGTTAGCGATGATAGCTGATCGGCGTTCCTGCCCGTGGTGGCTGAAGACGGGGAACACGCTCCTCTTCCCTGGGTGGATTGACATCTTCAGGTACGGATCAGGATTAAAAAACATCCCCTTCTTCAGGCCAGTAGCACGCAGGTCTGCAACAAAACAGATGACGAGAGAGACGAATATCAAAGCAAAGGATTGTTCTCGCTCCTTTGCTTGTGCACGGCTTGACCTGCAGATGCATCATGGCTAACAAAGGCGAGTGATTTGGGTAAGTGAGGTGGACATCCCATTCTTTTAAACTAATTAAACTGAACCTGATATCATCATTGGGAAACTGATAAAAACTTCAGAGTCTCTCTGGTGGGGAAAAAAACCCTTCAATACCAAGGCCTCTGTGTTTACTCGAGTTTACTCTAGTGTTTCCCAAAGGGACTGTAAGACACAGATGAAGATAAGATGGATCACTCCGTTAAAATCCAAGCATCTGTTCTGGGATTTATGGTGTGGCTCTTCCAGATTTGGAAATATTTGCAAAGAGGCATTTAGCAAAACTGCTAAACTCACCCGTCAAAGTGAAGCTGATCAGTTTACGAGGATGTTCGACTCCGACCTGCTCAGCCAGCCCTTCCACCTGAGATAGAAGAGACAACGTCACACTTTAGATGCTATAAAACACATGGAGCACATATTTTCCAAGGACCACAAACACACACACACGTCCTACTGAATTCACAGGAATTTAAATCATAACTGTGGACATGACTTTGAAGGTTGAGGGAATAAATTAGAACTGAACGCAGACAGCAGTGCATCAGCGAGGAGCCAAATCTCAGCATTTATGTGGGATTGATTACGGTCACAGACGACTCAATATTGAGTCATCAATCAACTGAAAAGTATGAAACATGCCATATAAACCACCGTGAGGCTCCATTATTGAGAATGATAAATAACAGGATTTCTTAAGGCAGACAGTGAGCCAATGAAGGCAGTTCATTGTTTGATAGCTCAACGTGCAGAAACGTGAAATAAATGGCTTCAAAATCAGTCCTGCATACTGAAATATCCAAAAACCACCCACATCTGCTATTTTCAGAAACTGGAGAAGGTCCACGACTCCTGAGTAAAGCTGATCTTCCTTTCAAAGGAGCACTTCCAGGCTTGCTGCTTGCTTTAGGTCATATCCTGGAAGTCCATTCTGACCGCTTCCATCTGAGCATCTGGGATTCTCTCCTGGTGTGTCACAACCATGAGTCTTCAACTCAGGTTTTATTTTAAAAACAGGAAGTGACAAAGAACCACGCCTGGTAAAGAAGGGTAGGTTTCCATTACTGCTGTCAAAAAACTCTCACAGACGATTTCCCACTGACTCAACTTTCATGTCTCCGACTCAGCAATCAAATGGTAGTTTGAGCTCCACAATGTCCAAGCGGAAACATGGTACATCCGGTCAGGAAGGCCGTGGGAACACCATTCAGAGCTGTTAGAGAGGAGTCCTGCTGCAAAATCCTCCTGTAAAGATCTCAACTTTGCGCAGCAGCTTTGTCAGAAATTCAAGAGTTCACGTTTAATACAGAGGACGAAATTCAGCACACATACGTACAAATACCAAGAACGGGAATCCCAGGAAAGCATCCACAAATAACAGAAACAGCTGGATGCAGTCCAGAGGTGTTAAAGGATATGAACTTGAAGGGGACATTAATGATATTTAAGTCTGGTTTGTTTTGTTGTTTTATGGTTGGAGCTATTACAATCACGATAATCATAACCAGCTATCCCCACCATATTCCAGACTTCACATGAATAAATCTCAGAGTGATTGATCAGTGCGATCCCTCCCTCACACACCAGGACTGCTGGGTTCTTCACAGTGATGCACGGGGTCGTGGCTCTCAGGGCTCCGCTCACTCCGTGGTAGTACTTGAAACAGATCTTTGTCTCAGCTGCAGAGGAAGCAGAAAAGAGTTACAGGCCTTTAAAAACATCACATGGAAAAATCTTTAAAGCTCAGCTGCACCTGGAGGTTCATTCTAAATGTTCTCCTTTGATTTGGAGGTAATTTTTACACTCAGCGAGGTCTAAATCATGACTGGCGACCATTTAGATCATTTTAAATATTTTATAGCAAGAACTGCAAGAAGTGCAGAGATACTTTTCAATAACCAACTTACGCTCCATAAAGTAGGGCCCGGGCTCGAGCCTCCACACGATCTGACCCTTCTGGGTGCCATTCACCCCTCTGTTCTTGCAGTCCCACACGTTGGATGGACTGGTTTCATCTGCAGGAGGGTAAATGTGTTAGTTCACTCTTGCTTTAGACACATCCAGCTCTTGCAGCATTTATTTTTAGACCAAAGAATGTGAGTTAAATCAAACAGCATGCTCTGCATTGTGCCGCTGCAGTGCAAAACTGTTCTGCCTTTCAGCGTGTTTAGTCTGCGGACTCTGTCTTCCAAAACACAAGTTTGCCTTTAATCAGTGAAATCCATTCCCAAAATAGCCTCCCTGTAACCTCCAAACAGAAGGACAAACTCCAAACTTCCTCTGAGTTAAAAACGGGGAGGGGGAATTCCGCTGTACGTAGCACTTTTGCGCACAGATTAATGAAGCACCAAACTCAGCTGACTGGTGGAAGTGTGTGTGTGAGCATGCCAGTGTGTCTGAAGGGGAGGCGAGGAGGGGAGGGCAGGTAGCTTATCATTGAATGTCTGCTTAGTCAAAGAAAGTGGTGTCTCCTCTGGGGTATAAGACCCCGGAGAAGGTAATGAAGTCCTGGTGGCCTTATGATCGATATGAAGTGACCTGACGCCCCACCAGGCACCGGCAGTTTGCACCGTCTCCTCCTCCCAGACAGTTTTCCCAACAAGGAAGGAAATGTCTGGAAAATGTAATCAGCTTATCCAGATGGGTTAAGTCTTAGAGGTCAACAGAAATTAAACTGATCGCCTGGTAAACAAGTTGAAACCATCACGAAGTCGAGTCCTTTATAGGAGTAATTTCACGCCGTCCAGAATTTACTGCCGTCTGTTGTGCGGCAGGTTTGTCTGACCTTTCCAAAACCAAAGGCGCCCATTGTTTTCTGAAGCTCATTATCCATCACTAACACAGTCCATCATGCTGATGAACAGCTCTCAGAGTTGGAGTTCTCCCTCAACGTCACTTTATAATTATCTGGAGTAAAGAGACAACGTTCATTATTTGCTTCAGTGAACAATGAAAAGGCAAATTTATGACCGTGGCAGAGATCCCCGTGTTTAATGTGGTCAGAATATTTTTCAAAAACTATGTTAGAAACAAAAATTTAACTTGAGTTGGAAACTGGGTTCACCATGACGCAGAAGAGACTCATGCATACATCTGACCCTGATTAATGTCCTCGCAGCCCCTCATTAGGAAATTTAATGCCTAAACCACGGGGTGCCAATTTGGAGTATTATATCTGTGCACCCAAATGAAGGTAACACTCTGGCTTATTATGAGTTGCCGTGCAGCAGGTTAACATTATCATTAGGCAGTAATTTCACACTAACTTTGCTCCAAAAGGGCATTTGACTGCTGTATCCTGAGCAAAATTTGGCTTATGAGGTAAAATATTCTGTATATTTGCACAGATTCTAGCTTGCTGTGTCTTAAAAGACGTGCAAGAGTAGGATACTTTTTAATGGTTACCTGTGTGTGCACCTGATGTGTGTGCTGGATCATGGTGCAATTTTGGATGTTTATACTTACAGCCTATTATTAGGCCCACACACATCAGCAACCAGCAACTTCAAGCTTCGCTTCTGTGCACTTTTTAATATTTGTGCTAAATACCTCAGCACCATTAGAAATACTCCATTTCCCATAAGCCCCATACCAGCCATGTGTGCACAGCCAATAAAAATAGCTTGAAAGAGGGGGTTAAGAAGCTGAGATCACAGCAGTGTGTAAACACGCATGGTGGACAGTACACCACACTTAGATTTTTCAGACATAAAAAAATAAGAATAAGAATCTGCTTTCAATCACAGAGCAGCAGAACTCTTTTGGATCTTTACTACGTGATCAAAACAGAGTGGACTGATCACCGGTGTGCTGGTTTCACACTCTGATTCCTGTATTAGCTTTCACCATCGTGGACAGATCTGCGTGAGCCCGATAGCCCTCTTCAGCACTCAGGTCGACGGATTTCCTCCCTGTCAGATTCCTGTCTCTAAGCAGGATTAGCGGACATTATTGGAGACCACCCGGCTCGTGCGTGCTTTGTGATGGTGTGTGTGTTATCGTACACCGAGGCAGAGCCGTGACACGTTGACTCAGCCTCCAGGCCTGGTGTAAAGTCTCAACAGCTAATGTTTCAGTATTGACTCGCTGCTGGAAGCTCCTGCACGAGACTCTGCACCAAGCTATCGACAGATTTCGATAACAAAACATCAGGATCAGCCGAAAAGCTTCGAGGACACGCAGGGTCAAGTCAGCTCTGAATGACGGCGAGCTGCCAAAGAGTTCAGCAAAACAGATTCAGGGGTAAAAATACACGTAAAAGTTAAAGTGACTGGGAAAAACAATCATTTAGCTGGCGCGTTTTTGTGCTGCTGATTCTGATAACATACGTGGGAAGTGGGAAGAAATTTGTGGAGGCCAATAAAGAAAACACATTTTCTTAACCATAAGTCAAAATTTTAGTTTATTGTCTCAAAATTTAGAGCTAGTTATTGACCTATCGAAACGTCCAGAGCAATCAAACTGTAGATTTGAGTGTTATAGTCTAATTTAGTTTCCTTTCAGTGGTATCTTAGTTTTTTATACTTTTGCCAAATTCTTAAATATAAAGACAACAATTTGAACAGCTAAACTAACTCTGGATTAGATTCTGAGTTTCTAGGCCCTGTATTTGCTAAATCCAGCATACCCTGAAAGCTGAGGACTCTTTCTGCAGAAAAACATCGGAGGCGAGTGGGGTCTGTAACAGCCAACCAATATGTGACACCCACGTTGATAGCCTTTACCTTTATGGACTGTCAGAGTTACAGAGTCACTAGCAATGGATTTGACATATATTGACATATAATGCCACCACCTCTTCTATCCACCCTTCCAGGTCTATATTGGGTATTAGCAGTACTTTTAACAATGGAAAGCAGAAAGCCAGGCGTGTTTTACTTTTAAAATCAAAGGGAGTAGATTGTATGATAAGCCATCGGGGCTGGCATCACCTAAAAACAGCTACAAAGATGAGCTCAGAAGAGCACAGTGGATAAACAGGTCTGCTACCCCTTGCGTTAACACCAGTGTTGAGCTTATTAATATGCAAAACCTAAGTTCAGTTTAGGCTGCAATGACAGTGCCCTGAGATGAAGTCGAACACTATCGAACCGCCAGCCTTCCAATCAGTGGACCTGCTCTACTGTCTGAGCACATACACCTCGCCTCTGCAAAGATATCAGCATTATAACAGCATCAACACTGATCTGAGAGATAAGCTGTCCCAGACGTGTGTCATTTTCAGGTCACCCCATATAAGACTGATTAAATCTGAGAAAAGCTCCCATCTGACCCCCTCAGAATCAGCTGATTGCTTTTCTACAGTAACTTTAGGATATTTAATGAAACCAAGCAAACTTCTGTGCTCAAGCTAAGTGTAATATTTTAGAGTTACAGAAATGTAATCTTTTTTTTTCTCTCCAGGATATGTCGTAAGTATAGGAGATAAGTCCACATGACATTTTCAATTTATGATCCATTTTACACACACAACAGAATTCACAATCTGAAGCCAAATCCGTTTTTTTCGCACATTTTTTATTTATAAGCAGTTCTGAGCATCAACATTTTGTGATCTAACATAGTTTGAATGAAATGCCCAAGTTTAATGTCTCTGATGAGCAGAAAAAATCACTGGTAGCCTGGATGATTGATTGGTTTTCTCATAATTTAGTGGAGAAAACTTTAAAAAGTGCATTTTGTGTAAATTTTCAAGGCTTGTATCGCTGTGTTGGGTAGGCGGCTTTATTAAACAGCTTTTTTACCTATGTTTAGATACCAGGATCATCGCCTTGCTGCATTTCCTTCTGAATCCAATAATTTTCTAATGTAGCCATATTGTAATGTTTCTTAATGTGCTGGGAGGCACTGACTTGAGATTTGACACAAATTAAAATTCCTTTACTTGCCATTGCATCATCTTACCGATGTGGTACAGCCCGATCCAGTCTGTAGCATCCACTTCCTCCTTTATGTCCCAGGATATGACGAGGTTCTGGCCACGGTTCAGCGTGTACTCCAGAGTGGACGCTGTCAACGAGGACCGGCTCTGGGATGTCACCAGGTCAGTGTCGCTGTTTGCCCGCGGAAGCCCAATGGGGCTGCTCACCACGGACACGGTATCTACAGCCGCCCCACCCCTCTCTGCCAGAGTCCGCAGGTTCTCCGGGCTGAGGGTGTGCCGAAGATGCGGGCTGCGCCTTCGTGGGGCCGACAGGTGTTCGCGGCCCCCAACGGACAGGTTGGGTGGATTGTGGGAACGGGTCCTGGGTGGCAGGACCGCTGTGGCGAGGGAAGGACGCATGTTGGCAACAAGTGAAAGCAGTTAATGAGTAGAGCCGAGAAGTAGAGGCAGAGATGAGCTTCTTATTGAGCCGGACGGTCACCAAAGCGATGACACATGTTTCTGATTTATCTGCCTCTTGTCTAGAAGTGATGTGTGGGTTCCTGATCCACAAAGCTGTGCATTTTCATCCGTTTTCGTCCCTTAATGAAGCCAAACAGTCGACTCTTTACTTAGTTCATGTTATCCAGTGGCATTAAGAACCTGAGGATGGAGAAAGAAAAGAAAGACAGACAAAACTCAGTGAGCTACAAAATTGCTCCGGCACAACAAAAGCAGTGATTGCACGGCGCGAACTGCAATCAACAAATGGCTGAACAAACATCCGTCACCGGAGCGGCTGTTTGCTGTCAAAGAAGCCGTCACAGACACAAGTAACCCGGCACCTTCCTCTTCCAACATCACCATTCCAACACTCATTTTAAGTTTTCTTTCATTAATTTAATGCACTATTTACTTCTTTGAATGATGAACGATGCGTACCGTGTGTTCGCTCTCTCTGCTAGAAACACTCAGCCCACATGAGGAGAAGAGCAGGCTGAAATGATCTCATTTGGAATGCATTATCTCTACGAGACTGCTGGAAAAGGAAATCTTTAAAACAGCACACACACACACACACACACACACACACACACACACACACACACACACACACACACACACACACACACACACGTGTCTACAACAAGGTTTCAGTCAGTGTAGGCTGCCTCAGTAAAAGAAAGGAGAGGGGCGACAAGCAGCTGTATCTGCCTCCCAGGAAGCTCTTCAATCAGTAGATGCCAGTTTGGGAAGTGTCTTGGGAGTGCTGTCAGAGTCTCAACCACAGCCATTTTGTTTTTAAAGAAAGGATGCCATGTGACTTCAGAGTCTAGCCAGGGGGAGGCTGGTTTCAGTTAGACTGAGGAGCATTAGCGGTAAATGTGTGTGTGTTTCTTTTCTTAAGGGTAGAAAAGGTTTGGTAATATTTAGCTAACGCATGCCTGGTGCAGTCACTGGAAAATAATGTGGGCTGCAGTCTCAGCTAAGCTTGATATCTGTGGTATTTGAAGTATGCCTCGAGAACCGAGCCGCTGGTAACATTTTAAAACTGTCAGCTCGTCTGCAGACCTCAAAGTGGGTTGTCAGACTAATGGTATTAAAAAAAACAAAACAAGAATCACTAGATGGTCTGAGCTTCATTTTATCTTATGATAAGTCACTGCAGCCTGCTAGGGTTACAGGTAGGACGTCTCTTATTTGTGACACTCAAACAAAAACTATGTCTATGAGATTTAATTTGAAAGGTAACACCTTTTGGCTTAAAATCAAAACCTAACTCCAGCTGCAGAAAGGATGCGGGTGACCTGGTGGAGGTCAAAGAAATGAAACCGAGTCTCCAGAAGTAACTTAATCTGCCAACCAGGTCTACAACTCACTGCTTGCTCTTTAATCTGGACCAAAAAATAAAAATGACTGTAAAGAACTATGGAGAAAAATAAATAAATAAACGACTTAGTAAATAATTATGCCATTAAATGCACCCCAAAATTTAAATAAATGTAGGCTATTACATTAAAAAAAATTGATGGATAGATACATTGACATTTCAGTTCTTTACCTTTGCAGTCTTAACTTCCACCCAAATGTACATGCATATTATTGGATAATCACCACGCTTTTATTCTGAAAGTTTGGTTAATGACTAATAATAACTAGCTAATAAATAGCTTGCAACGGTCCTATCTAACATTTTCCCTACTGGTTAGTTCGCTGACCAGGCTGCCCCTATGGTGGCCCATGCAGCTGCTTGCCCGGCTCCATCGTCTTAAAGGATCACTCTAACCTGAACCTCACCTAAGTTACCTGCTGGAGTTCAGCACAATGAAGCTGGGAACTCATCTGAGTTACGTATTTGTCACAAAGTTCATGGCATAAATTAAAGTACAAACAGCACTATCTAATTCTATGTTGGTCTTATTTCACAGTGCACATAGATGCATTCACACATATGTATGAGTAACACCCCTCACCTGAAAGACAAATCATATCTGTAGTAAAAACTAGAGTATTAGATGGGCGGATCGATCCAAATATCTGCTCTCCCCTATATAAAGCTCCTGATATAGGCTAAAAGTTTTGGTATCAGCGTATGTTTTCTGGTTTTTCATTTGGCACTGTGAAATCAGCTTTGCTCCATGTCACTATGTCAGCGATTTAAAATGACTTTTAATAAAACAGTTTATCTTTAAGGACTTGGATAGTCATTTTGTTTTAGTGTATTGAGAATCACGTAATTCTACTTGTATTTTGGTATTGTGATATTCCTAAATATTATGTAATTGTTTGTTATACTGTTTAGTTAACTATGAAGTCAACAGTAATAGTAAAGTTATTTGATTTTTGTATTTATGGATTTTTAAAAAAAAAAGTTTATTTGTAATCTTGGCAGTTTTGGTCCTCCATATAGGAGCACAGAAAAAGGGTGTTTGAGTTTTTTTTACCATCCCAATTATGTTGAAATATTCCTTAAACATTGATTTTAGTGTGTTTTTCCCAGCCATACGCTCTCTCCTTTCCTTCGTCTACTTCCATCTTTCTTTGTTGACTAAAAGAATCAAATTGAAAGTGACACTGAGTCTTCACAGTGGGTATAAACCTCACACAGCTGCTATTATAAATGCTTCCTCTTATCAGTAATACCATCTTCCTTTCTGTCTTTCACTACATTCTCATTAGTGTTTCATTTCCACTCAAAGACCATGAGGTAAGCTGAAACTCTTGACCATGCAAAGCAGGAAATCAATCTGAAGGTGATTCATGCGTGTCTCTGAAATATCCCGGGCCTGATGCTGAAATAAGATCTGTTGCATTTGTCATGAGGAAAGCCTGGACGTCCCTGACTCAACGAGATTACCGAGCCCAGACCTCATACAGGGATTTATGGCAGAATAAAACCTTCATCACAGATGCAGGAATACGTAAATCCAGATCACGTGCTCACATGGCCAAAGTCATATAGCACAAGCAGAGGAGAGAGGTAACATTCATAAGCAAGCAGAGGCATCTTCAGTTAAAAAATAAATAGATATGAAGCTGTTTGGTGGTTATGTAAGCGCTCCTGTGGTCCAATCGGCCCCCTCCTGCAGTTCTTGCCAGGCATTGTCTAACCCCGATGTGTAGCGGGAGACGCCGTGGCTGCTCACTAAAATAGAGAGGATGAGGAGTGCGTGCAGCAGCTCCAAACAGCACAGAACAAACCATGACCTCAGGAGACAGCATTAAGTAATCTGGACCCATTCCAGTGCTTTTTTTCTTTGAAAAGACTCCTGCTTCCCATTATAATCCCGAAGCCCGGCCCTGCACAGTTTGACCTGGATTAGCGATTGATTCTCAGGAAGGTGAATATAGATAAAGCCTTGCATGAGAACCCCAAAATCAAACAGCTTTTCTCAGGGATGATAAATGTCTCAAATGCCGTCATTTGAGCGCTGCTCTGTTATTAGGCACTGAATACTTTGTACAGTGCACCGCTGTGCGCTGAATACTAACAGCAGACACATCTGCAGCAGAGGAGGTGATGGAGTGTGCCAGACTCTGCTGGATAGTTGTTTTCTCGCATCCTGTCAAAAAGAGTTTCTTCAGAGAACGCTCCCAAAACCAGATGGCAGGTTTAGGTATTCAGGTATCGCTGTTGTGCCGTTCTTCATGGCAGGTCGTTTTCAGTGTTGTTTGTGAAGCTGGAAAACTCCAGCGTCCCAAGTGACAGGCATGACTGACAGGCACCATGGAAGCATTATGGCTGTACATCTCCCTTTGCACAGCTCACAGTTCTCTTAACACAAGGCACATGCACCGCGCTACTGCACGCACACCATGAGTTTTCCCCTGGTTAAACAATTAATGAATTTGATCGAGTTTAGTTTAGTTAGATTCTGGATTTACTTTTCTTCTTCTCCAAAGCCTCATGTATCTTATTGTCACAACCACAGTTCAAAAACATACCAGTGAGCCATTTCATTATACTTTCTTTGCCTTTCTTTCATTTAATACTAAAAAGCATGCTTCTGCTGTCAAGACATATCTCCTCACTAACAGTTAAAAGCCTATAAAACTGAGCAAAATGGCAGTTTCCAACATGAATCGAGACTCTGACACCTTAAAAACAAAAACCACAAATGTCAGTGTTAGTTTTTTTTTTTTTTAAATAAAAGCTTTTTTTAATGTCAGGCTGAACATTTTAGTCACTGCCATCTTGCTTTTTAAAAAAAAGTGATATGCACCTGCCAATCATAAGTTAGGTCCCACCTTAAAGTATACCCTCAAATATTGTCTGTTTTACTTTAAATGGGATCGTATTTTACTGAAAAAACATCATGTTGTTTTAAATAAGACTTAAAACTAGTGACTGAGACCATAAACTCATTAGCAAGACATTTATAGAGCTCATTAAAGAAAGTGAGAAGGAGGCTCATTTTCTCATAGACTCCCATACAATCTGCCTGCTTTCTGGAACCAGAGGAGTCGCCCCCTGCTGGCCATTAGAAATAATGCAGTATAGGGGACTAGAAAAAAAAAGTGGGCACATCTTTTTTCTTCTCCTTTTCCAGAATTCTGAGAAAAAAGTCAGAATTCTGAGATTAAAGTCAGAATTCTAAGATTCTGCACATACCTGCTATAAAACATGCTCTCATATAATTAAACTACATTCTAACAGGCATTCAGAAGCAAACCTCCAGAATAGATTAGCCAGTCATAAAAAATATGGGGTTCTACTCGTCAAGTCTGTGACCTATTAAATTGTACAAAACCTTCTTACATAGTTAAAGTTGTAAAAGAGTCTATTGTAACCCCATTTTTGATCTTTTTCTGAGTTTAAAAAGGAGCTTTGGTTCAAACAGCAAGTAACAGAACAACTTCAAAAAGTGACACTACAGTAAGGGGTAAAGCTGGGGTTGAGCTCTATCTCTACCAAGATTTGCTGTTGCTTTAAATTCTGTTGTTTCACATTATCTCACGTAAGTTACACTGTCCTGCTGCAAATACCCTGCAACAAATGTGTATTAATCCTTCGCTGCAAATACTCCCAAGCAAACGCACCTCTACTCAGTGGGATTAACATTTTCTGAAATCGACAGTGACCATCTGTTACTGAGCAAATTACTAAACCTTTACTTGGCAGTAAGAAAGACACAGATGGATTTAAGGCCAATTCGTGGTCCCACCACATCTGCATTAACCTCTGGGCCTGAAGAATAAAGCTGCCGTTGAAGTGCAGTTCCTCTCATGGCCACTCGAGGCTGCTTAAACATGTTTAAATCCTTGTACAAAAACCAAAAAGTTTTGTTCTCTATAGGAAATGTACCCGTGGATAGATGCTCTGCAGGATCAAAAATGAAGTCCTCCAGAGATCTGCACATTCAACTGTACTTGACTTACTTCTTCATGTTGTGCAGCTAAACCAACTATTTTCTTTCCCCCTCTAAAATGAATACAGTGATTTAAAAACACTTTTTTGGATAAACTGTGGACAACCACCCACTGATTCGTGAAGTCCTGCTGTGAAGCCTCGAGCTGAGCATTTTTATAGTATTTGTGAACGCTAATGGAGATCATAAATTACAAAATGA